GAATGGAGAAAAGTTGAAAATATTCCCCTTAAGAACTGGAACAAGACAAGGATGATGACTGTCACGACTTCTATTCAACATAGTGCTCTAAGTAGTAGCCAGAGCAATAGGGCAAGAAAAAGATATACAGTGTGCCCAAATCAGGAAAAAGGAGGTCAGCTATCACCTTCCACTGATGATATGATCTTGCATCTACAAAACTCCTAAGACTCTACCAAGTGACTCCTGGAACTGAGAAGTAAATGGAGCAAAGCCTCAGGTTACAAAATCACTGTACATAAATCAGTAGCATTTCTATATACCAATAAACAGTCAAGCTAAGACTCAATTCATAGAAAGTGCAGTTCATTTTCCTCCAAGGAATGCTCCTGACTCAGCACTCCTACCAACACGCCCAGGATACTTTCAGAGCCTTCCGAGAACAGGAAACTGGCTCCCAGAATGTAGCTATTTCTCTTCAGAAATGATTCTTTTGAAGGGGAGGGAGGAGTTAAAAAATAAACTTTATTCTAAACAATTATCAAAAAAAGTATGATAACTTTGAAACATTTAACAGATTTCCTTTAATACAGTCACAAAACTCAAAATGTCAAACAAAAATAGCTTTGTGTGGCTCGGCACCTGTGGCTCAAGTGGCTAAGGCGCCAGCCACATATACCCAAGGTGGCGGGTTCAAATCCAGCCCAGGCCCGCCAACAACAATGACGGCTGCAACCAAAAAGTAGCTGGGTGTTGTGGTGAGCACCTGTAGTCCCAGCTGCTCAGGAGGCTGAGGCAGGAGAATCACTTAAGCCCAGGAGTTGGAGGTTGCTGTGAGCTGTGATGCCATGGCACTCTACTGAGGGCAATAAAGTGAGACCCTGTCTCTAAAAAAATAATAATAATAAAAATAAAGCTTTAAGAGGAAACATGTAGAGACTCCCACATCATTTGGGGGCCATTAGGCAACAAATATTTAATTTTAAGCAAAAATGACTAAAAATTAAAAATCCTCTAATTTAGAGAGAATGCTTGTTCAAGTCTTTAACATGCATTTATTTGCACATGAGCAAACAGAAATATTTTATTTTCAAAGCAACCTAATCTAAGAGCTTACCCCCTCTTTTTTCTTTTCCTTTTTTTGGCAGTTTTTGGCCGGGGCCGGGTGTGAACCTGCTACCTCCAGTATATGGGGCCGGCACCCTACCACACTTATCCCTTCTTTGAACATAGCCGCCTACCCTTCATTTTACGACTGCATATCCCTTCACCATACTGCTTAGTTCAGCATGGCTGGCTTCACTGAAGTAAGCCCTCCAGATCCCATCTCTTATATCCCACCTGCTACCATTATTCCCTTGCATGTTGGCCTAGCCTCATACCACGTAGTATCATTATAATTGAGCTTGGGAAATGTAGGTATCCAAAGATACTATGTACACAGCTCTGTTTTACTGCATAGTTCACAATATATGTACAGCAGGTGATTATAGGCCCAACTATCAACTTTGTCTCCAACTACAAATGAAACAAATAAGGTACAAATTTGCCACCATATAAAAAATGTTTACTGGGCGGCACCTGTGGCTCAGTGAGTAGGGCGCCGGCCCCATATACAGAGTGTGGCGGGTTCAAACCCAGCCCTGGCCAAACTGCAACAAAAAATAGCCGAGCGTTGTAGTGGGCACCTGTAGTCCCAGCTACTTGGGAGGCTGAGGCAAGAGAATCACCTAAGCCCAGGAGCTGGAGGTTGCTGTGAGCTGTGACTCCACAGCACTCTATCAAGAGCAAAAACGTGAGACTCCTGTCTCTAAAAAAAAAAAATTATAAAATTGTTTACTCTGTGGCACAGTCCTGAGGGCTCATGCCACTCTAAGTGTCCAAAGTACAGAATCTATGACATTTCTGGTGGCATCAGACAAAATGGATGACATAAGACAGTAAGTGTCCTGTACTCATGGGCTCTCTGTACCGTTTATGTAACAGAAAGGTCTCTTTTAAAGCTTCTCAGATAGTTATTTAATCATGTTTGCCTTTTCAAAAGTATTATCACAGTAGTTCTCACAGACGGTAAAAACAATAGAATTTCTTCATAACACATTTTCACTTAAAGTTTAGGCAAAGTTGTCGGTTACAAGTCCTATTCAGGTGGCACCGTAGCTCAGTGGGTGGGGCGCTGGCCACGTAGACCAAGGTAGGTGGGTCTGAACCCGGCCCGGGCCTGCTAAACAACAATGACAACTGCAACAAAAAATAGCCAGGTGTTGTGGTGGGCGCCTTAGTCCCAGCTACTCGGGAGGCTGAGGCAAGAGAATCACTTAAGCCCAAGAGTTACAGGTTGCTGTGAGCTGTGATGCGACAGCACTCTACTGAGGGTGACAAAGTGAGACTCTGTCTCAAAAAAAAAAAAAAAGTCCTATTCAATTTTTTGCCACATTTAAGAAGACAATACAAAACCATCCCTGTGATGTTCTTACAGTTTGGTCTTCAAAAACTGTAAAAAGTGACCAAGAAATTAAATAAAAATACTGACTTAAAACTATTAGGATTCATCCTGCCTTTGTCATTCTTAGGAACCAGGAGACTTATAGGGAACAATGGAAACATGGATCTTCTCCCACTCATCCATCCTAGGGCTGGGTGTGAGCCTCTGCCCGAGATGGGGGAGGTTCTTGGTGTGGGGTGGAAGCCGTGGCTGCTTCTTTACAGACCCAGCAAGCCCTTTTGTCCCTGTCCATCCTCATCCTCACCTTGGCGTCTGGAGTAGCCTTCTACTCATCAGACCAGGAACTACAGGAAAACCAGCAGGGGGACTGAAAGGTGGGCACTGGGGTCCACATGCAGGGCTGAGAGGGCTTTCAAAGGACACCTGACACAGCCACCTGCAGGCACATCTGCCTCCACCAGCAGCAGCCCTGACACATCTCAGTTCTGAAAGATCAGCCCATTGTGTGAGACAAGAGGAGGGAGAGAGACTGAGGGCAAGATCTAGATCTATAGCTCACATCCAGGGGAGAAGAGGAGAGCAAGAGCAAGGAAGGAGGGAGGGAGAGAGAGACACACAGATCCAGAAATAAAATGAGCAACAGATGGAGAGAACAGCAGGGCAGGCAGAGGAAGGAAAAGGAAAGAAAAACAAATTGCTGTGAACACACAGTAGGTGGCGGCCTTCACACCTCCATACAAGCCTCTGCAGGAGGCTGCTTAGTTCAGGGTGACTTCAGCCTCTCCGGACTCTGGCAAAGCTGAACATCACATCTCCATCTGCTTTTCTGTACCTCTGACCCAGGTCTGACCCCTGGGGTCCCTCTCAGCCCACAGTGACTGGATGCCTGGGGACATGACCCAAGGCAGCCCAGTGAGGTTCCACCCCAGGACCTTTCTTGAAACCATTATGAAGAGGAAGCTCTTTTCCACTGGGACTTGGTAAAAGGATGGTGAAAGCCCGGAACTGTCAGAGACCACTGCACAGGGAAAGCCTAGATGAGAATGAAGCCAGCAGAGGGGGAAGCAGGACAGGAAGACGAAGATGACGTCCTGACAAAATCATCTGCATTCCTGGATCCAGTCATACCTGAAGCCATACCTACTCTGGGACTTCTCAGGTATATGGGCTGATTCCCTTTTATGCTTAACTCAGTTTGAATTTGGAATTCTGTTACCAGCAACCCAAACAGTCCTACTAAAATGTGAAAACCTGCCTAGGAGTCTGGCCTCTTTCATCAGCTCCCAGAAACCTCCCCTGAGTACAACCCAGCTCTCCCAACAAATGCAGTAGCCAAAGGGGCCTAGGACTGTCCCTTACAAAGGCCGAGTAAGAGAACTGCTAAATAATAATCTTTAAAAAGTAAAACTATCACAGGGAGGAAGGGGTGCAATTCTTGGTGCACACAGGGCCTTATTTTGACTTTCACAGGCCTTACGAACTTTTGCCAACATAGGCCTTATTTTGACTTTCACAGGCCTTACGAACTTTTGCCAACATAGGTCCCTTCCTCCATAAAAAAATGTTAAAAATTATATTTTCAAATTGCATTAGTATAAAGAAAAATATAATCCAGACTAGATATCACATTCATTTTTTTCTTCTGACTTAAAATAAATTAAAACATTTTAGTGGACCCCTACCAGTATCATAGACCTTTTGGCACCATGCTTACTCTGCCTAATGGGTCAGATGGCCCTGGGCCCAGCTTGTCCAGATTGCTTGTCTACTCAGTCCCTTTTCCCTAGAGACTAATCTTACTCTCTTCTCATTGTAGAGGAATCTGGTGAGTCCCTTGGAGCCTGGATGGCCTTTCTCTGTCTCTTTCCACATACTTCTCAGGGTCATCACTTTTGGCTTCATCTTTGGGGTTCCTACTGAACTGGGCACTAGTCTGGCATTATCACTTTGCATCATGAGAAGCTTCCTCCTCATCCTTCCAGGTCTGCTGACACATCAGGAGCTCCTCAAGAGCAATATCTCATACATCACTGTGCCCAAGTCCCAGTGCAGGCCAGAGGCACAGCATAGCCACATGGAAGTGAAGTTAGAACCCAAAGGCACAAAGTCCTGCCAAAGTCATCTGTGCTCCTGGATCCAGCTGTGCCTGAAGCCATGCCTACCCTGAGACTTTTCAGATATATGAGCTGCTTTCCTCATATGCTTAAGTCAATTTGAATTGAGAATTCTGTCACTAGCAATGACAGAGGTTGCTTCCTACTTAGGAAACTCTTGTCCCCTAGGATCTGCCACCAGGCTAGGCAAGACACATAAAGGAATGAAGTGTGCTGGGTCTGCAATGTGAACACAACGTGCACCCCTGAGGATATGTTCTGCACCAGACCTGTGCTGGGACCTCGGGCACCCAGTGACGGTTTTCCTCTGAGGTTTTTCTGGGTCCCCATCTGTTCTAAAGGGTGGATGTGCTGACATGGAAAGCTGGAGGGGGTGATGTGGGCCAGCTCTATAATTGGGCTGGCATCATACCAAAAGGCTTCTAGATGTGTCCCTTGACCCCAGGTCCCCCCTCACTCACCTTCATCACTGGTATGAGGCTCGGTGCCGTTGTCATGGTCAACTTCATCAATTGTCCCTGGCTCACTGTGTGGGCTGTCACTGCAAGGAAACATGGGAGGGGACTTACTGGGGGATAATCTACCCTCACACTACCCTGAGGCTCCCATGGGTACCAGCCCAATCCACGTTTGGGCCCTCACCTGACTCAGACAGAGGCTCACACCATCCTGTCTTTTTCTTCTGAAAACTACTCCCAGCTCCCTTATTGAGAAGCTTCCCAAATGCCTTCCCTGGCTCCTTCCTACCCTGGAATTTTCTGGGCTATCTTTGGGGTGAAGGCTGTCTATGCTAACATGTTCTGTAAGATCCAGAGGGCAGTGGTACCACCCCAGCATTTCTCACTGGAAGGACTGGAGGCCAGAACAGGAGGCTTTGAAGTACTATGAGTCATCCCATCTGGCCTGACTCCCTTGTCTCACAGCTGAGGTGGCGCATCCCTTGAGGTGAAGTTAAGATAACAAGGGCTGCCATACGATTCTGTGTGCAAGAGCCTGGAGCAGTCCAGGCAGCGAGAGCAAACCAGACTGGCAGCCACAATGAGCGTGGTAGCTGAGTGATCAGGTCCATCAAATTCAGTTGTTAATATACTGGTTTAATTTTACCAGATGCTAGATTATGAGCTTCCTGAGCCAGGGTTCATTCACATAGTCATTTTTTTCTTTATAAAGCCGCTAAGTGAGTCCTAATACATGCAGGCAGTATGTCAGGTAGGAGGGACGCAGTGATGGGCAAGGTAGGTAAGTTCCCAGGCCTCATGTTGCTTACATTGTAGGGAGAGAAAAAAGACAAATGCCCAAGTAAAAAGGTCAGTAGACAAAACAGGGGCAGGTTGAAATACTATTTATTATATAGAAAGAAATGGGCAGAGACAAGAATAGACCAAGGGACCTACAAGGAAAGGGAGGCTTCTCAGAGGAGGGGGCATTTACAATGCCATTTAAAGGGATACAGATATTGAAAAATCCTCCATGGCCACCCGGATTAGGTCCAGACTGCACAATGGCTTCTAAGATTTTTGACCCTTGGGGCCTCATCCCTCTCCATTCCCATCACATGCTACACTCAGCCACACTGGATCACTTTTCCTTTTATTGAATGCTCCACGCCTACTATATTCTTTGCCCAGTCCCCACCAGGTTGGTTCCAGTTCATCCTGCAGTCTCAGCTCAGTCAGTCCTTCCTCCAGGAAACCTTTCCTGACTTTCCTAGGTTGGCTTAGGAAGACCCACTTCCGGAACTGCCTGTTCCTACACCACCAGGGGTTAATCTTGCTCGGGTCACATTCCTGACTCCTAGCTCAGGACCCAGCCCCTGACAGATACTTGGTAACCATTCGTTGAATAAATGAAGACTGGGCTGAGACCCTCTACCAAATCTCCCCTTTTACCTTTGAAAACGCCTCCGAAATGACCACATAATTAATAGTTTTCCAATAACACAGGGAAAACATGGATTAAAAAAAGGGTGGTTATTGTTCTTTTGTACACGGAGATCGTGTGTCCCTTCCCAGAACACTAAATATATATGTGGCAGCAGGAAGAGAGAACTGGTAAGGGTTGCAAAACCTGTGTGAAAAGCTCCTTTTTGTTCAGAAATTTGGCTTGCTGGCTGTTTAATGTTTCTGTTATAGAACAGGGACAGACTTGTTTCCTGGTGCTTCAAATGAGATTAGAGAGCTGTGATTAGACATCACCATGGCCCAGTATTCCCATGTGGAGAAGCGTATTGGGGGGAAACGAAAGGCTGGATCACCTCCTTTCTCTGAAGCGGCTGCCCAAATATGTCCACAGAACTAAGGCAAAGCAACAGTCCGGGAATGCTTTGACAATCAAAAAGCAAACTCCCTTGTAGGTACCTGGCTGAAAGCAATGTGAGTAATACCTAAATATATAGCAGTGTGCTGTCCCGTATTAGGAACAAAGAAATTGTAGGTACCCTTTGACTGGTCTCTGTCATTTAGCGTTCTGAATTTCCTGTCTTTGCCACATTGCAAATTTTTTTTCCTATCTTCACATTTTAAAGTTTTAGCCTGGGGAAGGTAGTCAGCCCTGATTTTTAAAAGGTCCTAAAATATTTCTCTTAAGACCCAATGTAGTACCAGGTACACAGAGGTGCCTAATCTCAAAAAAATTGAGCTCACATTGCCGGGAAAAGAGGAATCCTAGGTGAGAGGGGACAACGGCAAGAAGTGTCGGACTCAGTTCACGAGGCTGAGCTGAGAATGATCCCCTTCCCTGCTTCCTGATGGGCCTGTGACCCACCTAGCCAGTCTCAGCATTACCTCTTCTAATCAATGTGATTATTTCACCAGACCCAAACCTCAGCAATGAAACACAATTTTTTGGCTTAGGTTGGAACATCTGAGCAACAGAAGCAACTTTTCCATTGAAAAGGCTAAGTCATCAATCCAAAAGGTATGGGCTGCCTCTTGCAACCACCAAGGGATAGGATGTTTGAGAATGAAACCAAAACAGGATAGATACAACAGAGCCAAGGGAAGGTGGCTGCAGGACCAAGTCTTCGTGATTACGGTTGAGCCCCTGGATCAAGCTATACCTGAAGATGTTTCCCAGACTTTTTAGTTAAGTAAATCAGTAAGTTCCCATTTGGTTTAAAGCAGTTTGAGTTATATTTCTGTCCCCCATAACCAAGAGAATCTTGACTGATGTACCTATTTTCTCTCATGTAAGGCTGCTGCAAAGCTCAAATGACAAAATGCACATGGAAGCACAGACTGGTAAGCAGTAAGAAAACAGAAGGGCTTCTTACTGCTCCCGTACAGCAGCAGCCACAGGATGATGACAACAATTAGAGTAAGAGGAATGGCATCTTACCAATATTCTTCCCCTCCAGCCATGCATTTTTCATACACAGGTCCCTCTAGCTCCCGGGGGCTGGGGAAGATGGCTTCATGATGGATGATGATGGTTTTGATGACTTCATTGACGTGTGCCTGGCAGGACACAGGGTCCTGCCCATCAGGGATGTGCATGAGGGTGGGCCCGAAGCAGATGGCCAGGTTGTAGGGATCCATCATGTTCTCGTCGCTATACTGAGAGAGGCTAGGAGAGAGGAGGTACCCACAAAGTCATCTGGGAAAGGCAAATCCTCCCCCTGTGATTTCTTTCTTTGGGGGGGACTCTACTCAAATCTGGAAGGGTTCCACATTCTTCCTTATAAACGGCACCTGGAAAAGCCTCAGGACATGCCCTCCCAAAGGAGGCCAGAGCCAAGTCAAAAGGCGGCCCTTTGTCCACTCTACACAATGAGTATACAGAAAAAAGGGGGGCCCTTGGCCAGGCACTCACTGATTGAGGAAAGCGAAGAGGTATCTCATGACCACGATGACCACGCGGGGAAGGGTGATGAGGATTTGTTGGATCTGGTGCACCCTCTCAGCTGGGTTCTCCAGTTCTGTAACATAAAGGGAATTTTCAGGGTGCCTTCCATCCTCAGACAGCACAGAAGCAAACGTCTGCAAGTCCCACCTCCCATACCCGTCCACATGGATCTAGGGAATCAGCTCGTCCCTCAGTGGGGGGGGGTAAATCATATGTAAATCTGGCCTGGCCAATCAGAACATCACAGGAGGGGCTGGGGTGTGGCCTACTCAGAACCAATCAGAGTCAACCCTAGAGACAAGGTGTGAGAGAAACCCAGAGGAAGGTGCCCTCTTGAACCTGACTTGTGGGAAGCCTGGGGCAGCTGGGGCCCCCCAGAAAGGAAGCTAGCACAGAGACAGAAGTGGAGGGCAGATGACTGCTGATGCCATGTGAGGGTCTGCATCCAGCTGGGCCTCAACTTTTCAGGTACCTGAACCAATGTGTTCCCTTTTATGGATTAAACCAGTTTGAGATTCTGTCCCTACAACCTGTGTGTCCTGACAAAACACAGACAGGGACATGTTTTATTGAACCTTTTATAAACACCAACTGCAGCACAGGCCTGGCTCATAGTAGTTGCTCATGAAAAGAATGTAGAATGAAGAACCATTTCTCAAGCTATGCATTGGCCAAAGAATCAGGAAGACACTTGGGATCTTGTCTCTGACCTCTATTTTCAGATCAATTCTAAACCTGAAATCTTCTCAGGGCCTTGCATAGGAATTAGATTATTGGCTGAGTAAGTGATATAGGCCCTGACAGGGTGAGACCTTTGTGCCCTAGAATTTATAAGACATAATTTAGAGCTTAAATTCAGTCTAGAAATACGAACAGAAGTAGTATAAAGAGCAGAGAGCAATGGGAGGGTGTTTTACAAAAGAAAATAAGAAGTTGCAAGCTTCCCTCTTCTCTTACCACTCTTGGGACATTGTCCTGGCTACAGTATCTTTCAGAGTATTGTAAAAGCCCCCCCCCCCAGTGAAACTGTGTGACAAGTTTTCTGTAAATAAAAAAAAAAAAAAAATTGAGGTGCACCCGTAGATCAGTGGGTAGGGAGCCGGCCACATATACCTACCAGCTGGCAGGTTTAAACCTGGCCGGGCCAGCTAAAACAACAATGACAACTGCAACAACAACAAAAAAATAGCCAGGTGTTGTGGTGGGCACCTGTAGTACCGGCTACTTGGGAGGCTGAGGCAAGAGAATTGCTTAAGCCCAAGACCTGGAGGTTGCTATGAGCTGTGACAACACAGCTAGGGTAACAGCTTGAGACTCTGTCTCAAAAAAAAAAAAAAAAAAATTGAAAGTTTATTCTAAATTACTAAAATTCTAACATTCTAAAATTAAAACTTTATTTTAAAAAAATATTCACAAAGACTACCTTGGATTTGAGCACCTCGCAGTCAAAGTGCCATGATGTCAGCCCCTAGGCCGGGCTCCTCCTGACTTTATGCAGAGTCAAAGAGGGCTCCCACAGCCAGCAATGTCAGAGGACGCCTCCACTCAACTTACTTTCACCATTTCCCTCGTTTGTCACATTGCTGACCTGACCCCCAGACCTTCCATGACTATATTACCCAAGCGGAAAAACTCTGGAACCCCTGTAAGACTTTCGAGGTCTTCCTCCACTTGCGACATTCTACCCTGCCAGCCTCTTCCACAGGCTGGCACAGGCCAGGTCACCCTCCTGCTGGTCCTACTCACCCGTGTCCCAGGATCCCCTATGTCTAGTCCTCCTGGAAGACTCCATTTATACAGCTATATATGTATATATTTCAGCTCTGATCTACAAAACCAAGTCTTCCTCTCCTCCTTCTCCTCTGAGCCCCTTCTGTACCCCAAGGATGTGCCATGCCCATTAGCCTTTTCATTATTAACCATCTTGTTATTTCCACAGCTAGGTTTTAAGTTCTATAAGGACACAGGCCATGCTTCCCCTTTATAAGTCTCTCCTCCATGTCTAGCGAAGAGATGAGGCTGCAAGCTAATTTCAATAAAGATCTGTCAGGGAATTGATTGTTCCTCCTGGGAGATACTTACTAATAGTAGATATCAAATCTTGAAACCTTTCCTTAGGAAAGAGTGGGTTTTCCAGTCCTCGGAAATACAGTTTTAAAACGCCAGCAACTGAGTTGATATCACGCTCATTTTGATCATCCACCAGGGGGTCCTCACCTGAGTAGAAACAAGAGACAGTGTTTGGCTTGATAGGGAAGCAGAGAATGTACAGAAGAGCTGAGCTGAACCCAGCCTGGGCCAGAGGAAAGGCAGGTGGGACAAGCCTTGGTCACATGTGACCCCCCCCAACACAAGTTTAAATCTCCTTGCAATTTCTTATTTGCATATGTCTAAATCCACAGAAAATTACAAGAAAAAAATAATAGATCCCCATCACCATCATTTACACTCATCTTGCCATACTGCTCTCTTTCTCTATATTTATTATTGCTCAAAATTTGAGAGTATTTTGTAGACACCACAACATGTCACTGCTAAATATTCAACACATTTCTCCTAAGAATAAGGATATTCTTCTATATAATCACATTGTAACATCTAAGAAAATTAACTATTGTGCCAAAATAACATCGCGTATACAGCCCCCATTCAGACATCCCCAATTGTCCCATGATATCTTTTATAGAATTATTTCAAAAGCCAGTATTTTATTAATGTTCACATAATTCATTTCGTGGTTATGTTTTCTTAAGCCCTTTATTTTTTTAAATTTTTTTATTTTTATTTTTGAGACATAGACTCATTCAGTCACCCTTGGTAGAGTGCCGTGGCATCATAGCTCACAGCAACCTCAAACTCTTGGGCTCAAGAGATCCTCTTACCTCAGCCTCCCAAGTAGCTGGGACTACAGGGGCCTGCCGCAACACCCAGCTATTTTGAGAGATGGGGGTCTCGCCCCCTTGATCAGGCTGGTCTCATACTCCTGGGCTCAAGTAAACCACCTACCTCGGCCTCCCAGAATGCTAGGACTACAGGTGTAAGCCACCACCAGCCTACTGGAGACCTTTAAATGTCAAACATGCTCTAGAATTTTTGTTTGCTAGTTTGTTTTTCATACCACTGGCTCTTTCTGAAGAGTCCAGGCCAGTTGCCTTGTGCAATGCCTCACACTCTGGATTTGTCTCATTGTTTCCTCACAATTAGATTGAGGTTAAACAAGGCTGGGTTAAGATACAAGGTTTTCTTTGCTTTCATTTATTTTGTATTTGTATATCTTTTTTATCCCAGGGAGACTCTTGTGACTAACATTAATAATTGTCTATTCATCAGCTTTATCTCACAATACACATAAAATGGTTTCAGAGTTTTAAGAGCAATATTACTACTAACAGAAAAAAACCTACAACATATAATTTAAGATTTCCTTCCCAGGCGTGTGTTGATTTTGTTTTGCTTTTTGATCCTTGAAATGTATCCCATTAAAAATGTCTGATCACAAGATAGAAAGCAGATTGGTGGTTGCCTAAGGTAGAAGGAAGGGTGTGGGGTACATAGGGAATCACTGCAAATGAATACAAGTTAATTTGAAGGATGGTGAACAAGTGCTGAAATTAGATTACAATGTTGACTGCACACAACTTTGTAAATGTGCTAGGAACCAATGAAATGGATACTTTAGAAATGGCTGAAACGCATGGCATATAACTCAAGAAAGCTGTTAAAAATTTATGATCAGAGGATATACTTAGAAGTTACTCTCTGTGGTTAGATAGCCAGCTTATCTTCATTTGTATGTAATTATAGGTATTGATATTTTTAATCATTTTAAAAAATTATAGTTTTGAATTAAGCATTGACAGAGTGAGAAAGTCAAAGTCAGATCCAAAGTGGCCCCTTGAGGGTGGGGCTTGTGGCTCAAAGGAGTAGGGTGCTGGCCCCATATACCAGAGGTGGCGGGTTCAAACCCAGCCCTGGCAAAAAAAAAAAAAAAAAAAAAAAACTGCACAAGTGGCCCCCTGAGAAGTTCTACCTCTTACCCTTCTCCCCTCCATACTTTGCATTTAACCACTTTCATTAGTTTCTGGCTTGTCCTTTCTGCAAAAATAAGTAAATATATTATTTTTAAAATTCTCCTTATTTCTTGAAATGTAGTGTACTTCATAAATTTGTTTTTTCACTTAACAGTGAATCCTGAAAATCCCTTCACATTAGTTCCTAGACATCTTCCTCTCTGTTTTATTTTTAGTGGCTGCAAAGTACTCTTTCTACTTCATGGGTAGACCATAATCTATTCTGCCAGTCTCAAGGATCAACATTTGACTTCCTTCCAGGAGGCTGCTATTATAAACATTGCCACAGTGAATGAATATTCTTGTGGTTTTGTATTTGTGGGGGAACATCTCCATGGTAAGTTCCTAGAGGTGGGACTGCTGGGTCACAGGGTAGGTACGTATGTGGTTTTATCAGATAGAGCCACATTTTTCTCCCCTGGGGCTGGACCATTTTCTACTCTACTAGCAACATCATCTCAAGAATGTTGTTTCCCAGAGTCCTGCCCAGGGCATATCATCAGTCTTTGGACCACAGGAGTAACACTTTCAATTTAGTCAGGAGCTGCTCGGCTGGTTCACCAGTGGGAAGTGCTGTGGAGAAGGTGAAAGGTGGCAGGGAGCAACCTGATCCCTCCGGAGGTACAGAGAGATGTCAGCACAACCGGCTTCTCTTCCTCCCAGACAGCCCAGAGCACTTCTAAGACTGGCAAGTGTTGAAGAGCAGAAATGGAAACTCACACCTGGGTCTCTACTGTGCCTCTGCAGGAAGTGAAGCCGGGCCCCTGCCAGCCCCAACATGCTTCAGTACTAATTAGAGACAGGTCCCCGCTCCCTCCTGTCCCAGGGCCTGCAGCTTACCGAGCAGCAGCCCAAGTTCAGCTCCCACCTGCCCTTTTGGCTGGCCAGCTTTGTGCAGTGCTAGTCTGAACCACGTGTGGCCACCCAGACACTGGTGTTCCATAGGTCAGCCTCTCTGCAGGCCCTAGCAGAGGAGGTGAGAATGCTTCCCCCACAGAGAGGAAACATAAAAACAATTGTCAGTCTCGGCGCCTGTAGCTCAAACGGCTAAGGCGCCATCCACATACACCTGAGCTGGTGGGTTCGAATCCAGCCCGGGCCTGCCAAACAACAATGACAGCTGTAAGCAAAAGAAAAATAGCCGAGTGTTGTGGCGGGCGCCTGTAGTCCCAACTACTTGGGAGGCTGAGGCAAGAGAATCGCCTAAGCCCAGGAGTTGGAGGTTGCTGTGAGCTGTGATGCCACAGCACTCTACCCACTCTACGACAGCTTGAGACTCTTGTCTCAGAAAAAAAACCAAAAAACTGTTTATCCCCACACACTACTCCTCAAGTGAGAAGCACCTGTACACACTGATCTCTCTGAATCCTCACAACAGCACTGCCTGCCACCAAGGGAGATGTGGTTCCAACACAGCCGTTCTCTCCTGTGGGAGACCTGAGGCCCCAGCAGATGAAGCAATGAACACGCCCATCCTCACACAGTCTGGCACAGATACTGGCAGCTCCCAGGTCTTGTAAGGACTGGGAGATGTTCTTTTTTTCCAAACCTATGATTTTCAAATCTGTCCGCTTGTCAGCGTGCATGCCTGCCCGTGTATACACGTATGTATCTATCGACTTTCCTTTCTCCTGTCTTCCTTTCTTTCTTTATAGAATCCCAACCATTTTTCTTTCTCAAAAAAAGTTCCTATGAAATCCCCAGGGGTGGGTGCAGTCTAAGCCCTCCCTCCTCCGCTTCCCTCTCTGTCCCTGGAGCAGCCTAAGGAATGAGAAACCTGGCCTGGGCAGGTGCAGTGGCACACACCTGTAACCCTAACACTCTGGGAGGCTGAGTTGGGGGGGATCGCTTGAGCTCAGGGGGTTGAGGTTACTGTGCTGCCGGTGCTGAGGCCTCTGCACTCTAGCCTGCCTGGGCAACACGCTGAGACTCTGTCTCAAAAAACAAAAAAACAACAAAACAAAAAATACTTGAACTGTATTAAGCTGTTTCCTTATTATTACTACACATCATTCTTGTGGCCTCATGATTCCAAACCACACGGACTTCTCCCTCCATACCGTCTACCACTGGCTCCCAGAGCTAAGTGTGATTAACACGTTGACTTTATGCACTTGCAGGTACACGTACACGCTCCACTACTTCTTGCCTTCCTCCCACAAGGACGCCCAGTCCATAATTGAAGCCGCCCAAACACTCCTTTCCGTTAGCCCAGGCCTGTGGCTCCCTACGAGGCTAGTCAATTTTGGGTCCAGGAAGGAATGGAATTCCAGAGCTCTCTGTGAACAGGATAGTCTGTGTGAATGACGGCCTTTTCCAGATGGAGAATCAGAGGTAAAATTCCAGGCAGGTCTGAGGAAAGTCATGTTCACGCTTCGCTAGCTCATGTCCTGCAGGAGGTGGAACTCTTACCCGGGTCACCGGGGCACTGTCAAAGGCGGTGGCTCTCCCCTGGGCAGACACTGAACACAGTGCTGCTGGGGGCTTGCAGGCGGTCTCTCTCATGGGGGTAGTCCTATGGCCACAGGTCCTGTCCAGTCCCTCAATGTGACAGTCTCACCCAGCGTTTCCTCTTATTGAGGCAGGACATAGATCTCCACAGAAGGGTTAGGTCCAGAGTGTAGGATGAGTCAGACCCTGCACAGCTGGCTTCAAACCCTGTCTGGACATGCACACGGTGAGAGGTTGATGGCCTTCCTTCCCAGCCACCCCCTTACTCATCTGTGTGTACAGTGGGGAACAGCAGAGAGGTCTGTGGGAGGAACAGAGATGGGGAACCGGCCTGGGAGACAAGAGAAAACCACAGCGTTTTCTATAGCAGAGCTGCTGATTTCTGCCTTTTCATGATTTTTCTTTGCTCCTCATCTTGCCAGAAGATTACAAGAAGAACCCAGAGCACAGAGTTTAGGATTTACTGATTAAAACAACAAAAGAATTCCCAATAAAACTCTGGTTGACTAGTGTCAGAAGAAAAAGAAAATGCACGTAGGAAGAGGAAGCCAGGAGTGGATTTCCAACATGTTATCCATTTTCAGCAGCTTAAGGAAAAGAAAACTGTGCTCCTTTTAACAGCCTTGGGCAAGGAATGGAGGCAAGCACATCTGCCCTGCAGAGGAAAACCAGGGCCAAGAACCAACAAATCTCTTTGAGCAAGTGGCAAAGGTTAGGCACCCTGCAAGGATTAGGGGATTTAAATTTTTTTTTAGCGGATTTAAATTTAAAAAAAATAAAAGGAAGAAAGAAAAAACCTATACTGATCTGGAGAAAAAATTCAGTCTCACAAGTTAGACCACGTGGGATGTGAAGAGTGGGTGAGAAGAGAGAGAGTGAGCTGTGCCCAGGCTTGGGCCACCTGGTCACCTAGGAAATGTGGAGAAATAGCCCGCGGGAGAGCCACGAAAAACGAAGATTCTAGTTTGAGGAGGCATCCCTGAGGGTCAGCGTGGTACCAAGCCAAACACGAGGCATGTGCTTCTATGACCGTCACATGGAACAGAGAAGAGTAACTGAGAAATGTGGCCCTGGCCAGCCCAGAAAAGCCAGGAATGGTTTTGTTTTTTCTAAAAGAGACATACCAGGAACTATTCTTTTAGAAGAAAACATGCCTCCCTGTGGGCTCAGGTGCGGCAGGCAGACAAGCCTGGCCAGAGAATGAGATTCATTTTGAAATGACGAGGAGAGGGCGTGTGGCCAACTGCAGACAGGAGGCAAAGGAAAAGGAGAAAATGTTTTTTGCAGCTGAGATGTGGGTCAGGTGATCTGTGCCCAGCTGGGCTCTGCCTGAGGCAATCCAAGGCTTGTTAGGAGCAGAGAATTCTTTTACACTGCACATCATCCCGCAAAGCACCCAAGCAAGTGACAGGAGGTGCTGACCTTAGAAAATCAGATTCAAGAAGGAAGCAAGCGGAGCTACTGGGGTGGGGAAGGGACAGGCTGCCTGTTACAACAAGGTTACCTACAGAATGTGGGGAAGCAGGGAAACACAAGGGCAAGGTGCCCGCAGGGCTGCAGGCTCTGCGCAGTGAGTTCGCCCATGAGAGGCAAAGCAGAATGACAAGGGACTCTAATGAGAGGAGCCCAGGAGGATGGCAACAACAAACGCTTCTGTCTACACTTCTGTTTATTTACAGTGAACACAGGATAGCAGGGGTGCTAAGAAGTTGGGGAAAATAAAGAAAGAAAATTCGGGATTGGGCCATCCAGTGATGTCGAGAAGGGCTCAGGGCAGTCAGGTACGACCTGTGCATAAGGGATACTAATGGACGATACCTCTTACTTTCCTGTCTTTGCACATGCTGTTCCTTTGGCCTAGAATGCCCTTTCCTTGCTCTTGTGTCCCCTGACCCTCACCCCTCAGCCTCAGCTGAGGAACTTCCCCCAAGGAAGCCCCTTCTTGGCTGTGGTCCATCTGAACTGGGCTGCCCAGGGCTTGCTCGGTCACTGCACTAACCATCCTATCTGCCTTCTAGGCTGGCTCCCCAAGCCAGAGTGACTGTGTTTTATTCTTGTTATATTTCTAGGCGCAAGTCCATGACCTTGTACAGTGCTTACTTCTTCAGTGAATGAATAAATGCCTGGGAATTGGAGCAAGGGGATTCTAGAGCTCTCTGGTTCTAAGCACACAAGATCCTGGGGTGGACTCCAGAAAAGAAGCTCCCCTGGACCCTAGACCCAGAGGCTGCAGCCTCTAGGTCTAGCTGTCTACCTCTGGTTCCAAGCCAGAGTGCCTAGGGCCACAGAGGGTCTATGCCTAGGGGCCATGGTGGTAACTGCCTAGGGCTGCAGAATGCTTCCTCCACTATGGAGTGGAACCTAAGGACGGACATTGAGAAGACCAGGAGGCAGAGAATTTGCTCAGGAGATAACTCCTTTAGAAGAGGGGAGTAATTCTATGGCTGGAACCCCAGAGAGACACCTGCTCAGAACACAGCCAACAGAGGTAAACCGTCCACCTCTCCAGGCTGTCAGAGAACAGGTAATAAAGTGTTTTCTTACCGATTGGGATGGGTTATACTTCTAGCAAACAAGTCTGGAATTGGGGTCTGCAAACCAAACTCAGTACCAGAGTCACTAATGGAGTAAGGTTGGTAAGTCAGAGCTGAAAGGGGTTAGACGATGGAGATGTAAGCTTTCCAAAATACTAGAAAACTGCAGGCAGAGATATTCTTTGGGAGACCTATATGCAAACTCTTCTTTCCTACGGTGGGATGAGGATGCGGACTTGGTAACCCTAGGCTTTATTCTGAACTCAGGGAGCATGATGTTTGAAAATATTTCCTTGAATGAAAATGCCCAGATTTTCAGTTCCAGTGTAGCGGTAAGATAAGCACTGGGTATTCAGAGGCAGAAGTGTCAGGAGAATCAAGTTTTTTCTGATATGGTGACTCTTTGCTTTGCGTGGACACTGTCACCAGCCTCTGTCTCCATCAGGGAGTCTAAGGCCAAGACAAATATATTATACCAAACATATCACATGTGCCCTGTTCTGGTGGTCTATTTCATTTGTATTTGGTTTTTGGTGGTGTTGTTTTTTGTTTGAGACAGAGTCTCTACTCAGTCACCTGAGGTAGCGATTCATTGCAAACCTCAAACTCTTGAGCTCACGTGATCCTCTTGTCTCAGCCTCCCAGATAGCTGGGACTACAGGTGCCTGCCACAGCACCCAGCTAGTTTTTCTATTTTCAGTAGAGACAGGGTCTTCCTCTTGCTCAGGCTGGTCTCGAATTCTTGAGCTCAAGCAATCCACCTTCTCAGCCTCCCAGAGTGCTAGGGTTACAGGTATGAGCTACCACACCCAGCTATCTCACTTAATCAAAGTGAGGACTAGATCACTTCTCCAGGGGTAGAGGGAGTGTATGATCTCTTCCTCTCAATGTATAGCTTGCAATAAATATTACATAGAAAATTAAGACTTGGGGTGTTCTAAAAGCCACTGTTGTCCATGTTCTTCCAACTTTTCTGAAATGCAGTGTCCTTTACAGACTCGTAAATATTCCAGAATCTCTAAAGGGCCCTCCTTCCCTGCAACCACTGTACAGTCCACTGGAGAAACTCACCCACAAGCAGTGGTAGTAGGAGATGGAGGAGGAGGAAGAGGAGGGAGAGGAGAAGAGAGAGGAGGAGGAGGGGGAGGGAGAGGAGGAGAAGGAAGAATCTACTTAACAGCTCTGCAGGAAATTAAAAGATCACAGTGTTTGCCAATATCTGTGGTGTAAACACTGCAGCCACAGCTTTCAAGCTACCAGGGCGAAGTCACTGAAGGCCACGCTGGGAAAGATGTGCACAATCAACTCTTGCAAACTGGTGCAAGCCAGTCCTGCACACCACTAGCTCTAAGACATGTGTTAACACCCACCCTGGTTTCCCCTGGCCTCAAGCTCGGGATAGGCACTCTGCACCCACCTCTCTCAAAGGAATTTTTGATGTCATTGACTTCCACCTGAGATCCTGGCACTCTGAAGATCCCCTGCTGCTGAAGTCCTAAAAAGAAACAAACAAAGGAAATAGTAATTGCCATTTGACCTTCGCTCATCAATCCACTGGGAGTATCAGTGACTCTCCTCATTGCTTATCTCTCCCTACCCATCCTTTAAAATAACAGAGTCATTCCCAATGAAGATGTCCTGGCAGAAACCCAGAAATGTCCTTTGCAGTGAAATACATCTGGTCATCTGCTTCATATGACTGTCATCTCCTGTCTGGGCTTGAAGGAAAAGGCTGGTAGAAGTTTATATCGATGCTATTTCCTTCCCCTACACAGACCCTGACTTTAAGGAAAGCTAGACTATAGAGCGAATCAAGGAGATGGGGGTGCAGAGATTAAATTATTAAAGAAAAACAATCTCCTTTTAAAAAACATGTTTCTCCCAGCAGTAACTATGTAACAGCAGTCTATAGGATTACAGAAATTAAAGGGCCTGCCTCATCTGAAATGGGAATTACTGGGGGAGAATGTGATGCTTTCCTTGTCTGTTTTTCTATATAAAATAATTCTCGGGCAGCACCTGTGGCTCAATGGGTAGGGCACTGGCCCCATATGCCAAGGGTGGCAGGTTCAAACCCGGCCCCAGACAAACTGCAACAAAAACAGCCGGGCGTTGTGGTGGGCGCCTGTAGTCCCAGCTACTCAGGAGGCTGAGGCAAGAGAATCACCTAAGCCCAGGTGTTGGAGGTTGTTGTGAGCTGTGATGCCATGGCACTCTACTGAGGGTGATAAAGTGAGACTCTGTCTCTATTAAAAGAAAAAAAAATAAATAATTCTCTACATTATAATTTAGGAAGTGTTTACTCCCAAAGGGCAGGCTTTATTCAAAGTTTGGTTTGTACATAATATGTGCTCAATAAACCTTTATTCATCTTTTTAGTTGAATAATATTGAATTTCTACCACCTGAGTCTGATTCATCCTTCTGGCTCATTACCACCCAGCCACAATGACCTTCCTTCCCATATTGGGCCTTTCCACTTGCCATTCTCCATCCTCTCCACTTGCACTACACGGCTGGCTGCTTTTGTGACTTTGTTCAAATATCACCCCTTGGAGAGCTCTCCTCTTCCCAACTTAGCCGAAGCAATCCCCTCTTCCCACAGCCATTCTCTATCTCCTTTTAATTTCAGATAATGACATTCTCACTACCAGAAGTTATATTTATTTTTCTGCTTTTTTATTTCCTTGCCCTTTGTATTGGAAATGTAAGCAAGCCGGGGCAGGCATCGTACCTGTCTAATTCACACCTATATTCCTATTGTCCAAAACTGTACCTGTAATGCACTCGATAAATATAGTTTTGGAGGAATGAGTAAGTGGATAGGCACACGTTATCTACTGTGCTTTGGTGACACCATGGTTAACAAATCCCATACAAAATTTCCTTCATGGAGCTTATAATCTAGTAGTATTGGCTGGTTTATTGGCCAACGCCATTCAATGCTCAAAGCACAGATCTCTGGGGTTGGATGGGAGTACGGGAAAAACCTAAAATAATTCTCCGGCCAGTACCCTCGCTGCGCCTGCTCCTCAGTCTCCCTAGGTCCTGGGTCCCCTCACCAGGACCTCCATCCCCCAGACACACATGAAGCTCAAAAGACAGCACTCAGAAGAACAGCCGTTCCATGAAGCCTCTTCCCCTCGGGAGCAGAGCAGTGATGGGAAGTCTTCCAGGATGAATTAGAATCTCATTTCCTACCAGAACAGCCTGGCTCCTATTCTAGAGATTGCTGAACAAACTGACCCGAGATGGAGCTTACCATATAAATTGATGTATCGGATGCAGCTCTCGACTACAAGCGGTATAGCTTGTCCCGAATCCTTAAGAAAGAAAGACTTTGTGAGCTTTATTGGGCTTGGCAACCCCCACAGGAAAAAGACATTGCAAACACAAGTTATTAACTCAAGCCAGAACGTTAGTACCATCAGATTAGTAGGAAAACAAGCAAGGAACTGCTAATCCTAAAGTCTCCACAAACAGTTAATGACAGAGAATGTTCAGTTATGTGCAGAAAAAGGCATAGCTATGATGGTTTTAAAGAAATGCTCTGTCTTCTTACCCAGCTGGCAAGGAATCTGGGCTCAGGAAGCTGGACAGGCATACCTGGGGCAAGGGAGAGGGAACCCACTGCGTGGAGAGGGCGGGCGTCTGGCCTTGCAGAGTTCTCTGCCTCCTGCTCCACTCTGCCCCAATTCAACAGCATTCCCCCAGTGCTCGGGAGGAAAAGGCAGGTTCAAGTCCTCATCCTAATACTGCACCTGGTGGTACTTTTACACTCTTTAAGATCTTACAACTAAATGCCCAGATGCATACTTTGTTTAACAGTAAACATGTCACAAAGAAAACCTCCAGAAGCAGTTAATGTCAGCCACTGGCCAGCTAGCGGCCAAAAAGGCTGAGTAAGATGTAACTCCTGGGGTGTGAGTGCACTTTCAATGACATCTCCCTGGACTGGTCTGCAGCCACAGACAGCTGGGCAAGGAGCAATATTCTTTTGGAGTTCATGATTGGTTGGCCTCTCTGTTATTCCAGGTCACTTAAAGAATGTTAGAAGAAAGTTCTTAAACTTTCTTAAAAAGGGACCAAGTTAAATTACTAGCCTCCTCATACTATGGCGTATGTCATATGCTCTTGGAGAGGCGGTGTGGATTCAGACGCCTTCTTGGCCACGTCACACTCCACGTGTGAATTCTTTCCTTGCTTGACTATTGTCAGGGAGAGGACAACAGCAGCAGGCTAGGACCAGGTGGACTGGGACCTGGAAGTTGGTACTAAAGATGGGTTCCCTCCAGATGAATGGGGCTAACGGGCCTTTCTAGTAAATACCTGGTTCCTGGTTCGAGCATTTCTTCTTCCTCTGATAACAAAAAATAAACAGGCAGCACAGCAGGAGAAAAAGAAAAGATTATGCAGGAATCAGATCAGTTAGAGTAAGCAGATCCTTCAGAGTCCGGGAACGCCGGAATGCAATGGCAGCCAGCACAGGTCCTGGGGAGTCTGCCCGATAGCCTGCCCCTGGGGAGGGCCACCCCTGAGCTGCAGTGCCTCGCAGGACTTCTGGGAGCTGCCCCAGCCAGCCTTCCCATGTGGCTGCCTTAACCTCCCTCCAGACTCCAGTGGACAGAGGGACCTCCTTCAGTCCTGGCCGAAGTGCATGCAGGAGCTGAAGGCCTCCTCTCCCCATGCCTTGCTCCTCCTCAACACAAGCTTACCTAAGACCACGAAGGTAAGCCCACTAAACAGAAAGTACATCCTGTAAGTCTGCTGGAATACTGCCTGGAGTTCAGCTCCAGAAACCCATTCTTGGTAAAATGTTCACTTTTACCAAGATCATGTCTCTCAGGGGCTGTGTGCACAGGGTCCAACAGGAACCCACCTGATTCCTACCACATGCCCTGGGTAGCACTTCCTGGGTGTCTGCTTGGCTCTGCTCCCCTTCCTGCCCTCCTGACCCTCACACTGTCACCGACAACTTCCCTGGGAACACAAAAGCTGGGGGAGGCCTAGAGGGAGGGAGGTAGAGTGAGACACCGCCATAGTCTTGGGGCTGCCTGGAGCCTTGGTTTTCACTAAAAGCCACTGACGACGCCCGTCTATTCTTTCCTTCCAGGGTGCAGCGGTCAGTCTCGAGGACGGGTGCTGTGTCTCATCCAGGCTCCTTAAGCATGTGCGTCTTCCAGCCAGTGCCATCTGTCCAGTTCTTGGCATCCCAGCAACTGGCATTATCTGCTAACTGGCACACTGGCTGAGCCCACCTGGATCCTCAAACTGAGCAAATAGCCCAGTTTGATCAAATGGGCCTCTAAGAGCAATGTCTTAAACTAATGTGAACGATGACAGGTAATACTTACAGAGGCTTACTGCGTACCAGCCAGTGCTCTAGACACATAACATAGGAGGTCAGATGACTGAGTCTGTGAACTCATCCCAGAGAAAGTGCTACTACGGTTACCCTCAAAGTGCTCCTCCTGGGAAGCTATGCACTGACGCCAGCACCCAGTCTGCAGTTTCTTTAAAGCACTTTCTCTAGTATGAGTTCACGAACATAATTGTCAGACTTCTTACAATGACAGCTCTGACGGCCATTTCAGAAAAAGAGTTCCAAAATTGCTTTGAAAGGTGAAACAGGCGCTGGTCTCAGTGCATTAGCCTCCCAAGAGAGCACCATGAAGGCGACCCTAGTGATATGAGGCTATGAGGTACACAGCATTTTTTGGGGGGTGAGTTCATGAACTTCATTGTCCAATCTCAGACATGTGGTATTAGCTCATTTAATCTTTCTCACAAACTCACACGGAAACAAGATGGGGACTCTGCCCCTGCCCCAGGAGTGAACCTCCTGGGCTTCAAACTTGACTCTTACTGACAAAATGGACTCTATAAAAATGGGGTTTCCTTCTGTCTGAGAGGGGGAAAAAATCTGGGATTTTAATGGGGTTGGTTTTCAGGGAGCGTCCTGGAAAAGTATAAACTCTTTTATCCGCTGTCCCCTAAACCATCATAAATCATGGCATCTTCACAATGATATTTTACTGAAAAACTTTTCACGGGTGTGGATTTCCAAAGCTAGGGGCTCCTAGTTTAGTGTTCTTTGAAACAGCATGTGAATTATCATAGAAAATTAAACTCTGTTCCCAATAATTGTAGGGATGAATATATTTTAATGCCTTCACTTTCCCTGAAAGTTAATAATTCTTGAGAGTAAAACTGTTCTGTGTGCCGTGTTGACTACCTAGGTCATAGCGGGCAAGGTATAAGATGCATACAGTGTGACAATAAAGATATGCAATCTTGTTTAACAAATATGCCTTGTTTTCCCCAGGCAAAGGAGTATTATTCCTCCAGTCGTCCCCATAGCAGGCTGTGCACTTATTCCAACAAGGCTGCCATGCTCAGGTGCTCTGGGTGGGCCCTCGTTGGGGTCTCTTTTCAGACCCATTCGACCAGCCCCACTGTAGCATAGTCAGTCCTCTTGTCATTTTGTATCTTCAATGGGGTTTACAAAGCAGAACTTCGAATGGAGCTTTTTATTCTGAAGACAAGGCGCTCCATTCTACGACCAAGTTTTGGCACTACTGGTAAAGGCCATGCTATGGTCTCTAAAGACCGTTGAGCAAAGCAGTTGCAGCAATGGGGAACTATTTAGAATAAGAAGGTGATTTCCAAGGTGACTGTGTGTGTCAAGGGCAAACACTCGTGTAAGTTCTGATGTGTTGATCAGAAGGAATAGTCTGATTACTTTATAGTTGTGCATTATATGGAGGAACTCTCTATTAAAAGACTATTTAATTCAACAGAACCCATACTTTTCAGATATTATTATAATAGCAAATAAGAACTAATTCCTTCCAAGTATCCTGACTGATCACCCACTCCCAAAGACCTAAGCAAATCGGGGAGGTGTCCCTGTCTCTGAGCCTTCCGTCCTACTGTCCTATTCCTCTGCTCTTTATTCCTATCCTTCCTTCAAAGCCCCTGAGCAGGCCTCCTGTGCTAGAGCTTCTGGCTCTTCTTGCTCAGAATTTATTCTTGTGGGGATAATTCACCAGGTGCGCATCCTGAATCACCCTGTGCTTCCTGCCTTTTGTGTTTAAAACCTCCCAAGCTCCACTATAAACAACTTGAGGGCAGGAAGAGTAACTAGTCCCCTCTCAGCCATGGAGCATGGCTCTTTCAGGGGCTGAAGTGAATGAGAAGAAAGTCTTGGAGGAGAGAGGGGGGAGGATGAAGAGGGAAGACCCCTTTGATCCAGCCTCATCCTCCCACCACTCAGTGGATGGTGAACCACTCAGTCTGGACCAAGCAGTTCCTCTCTCCTGATGCACCCGGCAGGGCCCCTGTTCATGGGCGTCCTCTATGCTTCTGTCCTCCTAGGTATACTCTTCATGAAACAGCCCTTGGCATTCCCTGCCCCTGGGCAATCTCACCTTAGGCCCTAGTCTTCCACTTTTCTAGAACTCAGCCCACAGGCAGGGACTATCAGACACTCATAGTGAGCTTGCCTATCCACTCCCGCTGTCTGAGACCACCCTATCCAGTCCCTCACTGTCCTGTGCTGTACCCTGAGGACCAGGGGTGGAGAGTCAGAGCAGGGGCAATTTTTATGACCCCCAAATCATCAGCAAAGCCCAAGAGGCTTTACTTTTCTCCTGATTGACACACATCTTCTTCCCTGTGTCTTTGCTGAATAGTGGTGAGCTCTCAAATATCTGGCAGGTACCTGCCTGCCCTGTTCCCTATATAATGTTAAGAATCCCTCTCTTCAGGTATTTCCCCACCTGCTGCCCTCTGCAACCCCATTATCATCTTAATTTGCACTGAGCCCTTACACCTGGGATGGCTTGCCTTTATACCCTTTACAGGAAAGACAAACTCAACTAACTGAAGTGTTTGCATTTCTAGTTTAAGGTGTAAAAGGGTTAACCCAGAATTTGAAAAGGGCTATCTCAGCTTCCTCCCTTCTTCCAAACCACCTAACCAGCGGCAAAACTAGGTGGAAGGATGTTGTCTCATAAAAATAGCATGCATTTCCCTTGCTAGTATATACGCAAATTTTAAAAAATTCACTTGGGTAAACACACACAGTTACCTGCAGGGATTTTCTCTGTGGTGCTTTCAGTTCATTTCCCCTTGGGAGACATGGTTGTGACATGAAGACCCAGGGTTCCTCTGAGTTACCCTCAGGGGTTAGGACTGCAGTTTCTGAAGCACGGCTGGCTGGGACCACTGTCTGCCATTTCAACCCTACTTGAACTTCACTAGGCTCCATCATGATCTGAACCCGCCCCCTCAGGCTGAGACTCACAGGGGCACTTAGGGGTGACTGGTCAGAGGCCAAAGCAGCTTGGATGAGAAGCTCTCACTGCAGGTAAGAGCAGGCTGCTGTGAGGAACTAGCTGGACAGGGCCTGGTGGAGGGCAGGGCTGTCAGCTGGTGGGGAGGAGGGTAGGGCTGTCAGCTGGTGGGGAGGAGGGTGGAGAGAGGCTGCCATTACATTGGGCGCATTCTCGGACTCTGCAGCTCCCCAGGAAGTACCTTAATGAACGCTTCCATACTGCCGTTAAAGAGTTTATGGCTATACACTGAGAGAGGCCTAGGTCTCCTCATTTTCTGTGGTTTAGGGGGAAGACAGGGGGGCCTAGGGGAAAACGGAACAAAAGTAATCAAGAAAGCAACAACAGAAACATACAACTGGGAGAGATGCTTTTAAAACCCATGACTGGAGGGCACAAAATGCAAATGGAAGCCCCTGACACCCCCCCAAACACATTGGTTTCCAATGTTCCATCTGAAGGCCTTTGGATGTTTTAGGGGATCTTATAATAATTTACCCACGATGCCAAGCAGGAGCAGCTCTTACATAACATAAAGGCATTCTACATCTTAGGGGAAAGAGATAGCACGTGTAGTATCACAAGAAACCACTGAAACTCCAGAGGCTGTCATCCTGCAAAGCTGACCAGATGGAGGGGGACTCAGGGGAGACACACATAATCTGTAGCCCAGGAAAGCAAGAGACTTTCAAAAGTGATCAGGAGGGTTAATTTTCATTATTTTGGCTTCAATTTATCACCTAGTCTCAACTCCCAATGTACCAGGACACTGATCTTCCTAATGCCTCTTGGCATTTCAAATATACTTGACTCATCTTTGTTTCCTGGGTCCAAGAGTCAGGTAACCGTTATTCTCATTTCGAAAATGAAGAAACTGTTGCCACCAGGGCAGCTGCAGCTTCTTTGGGGTCTCTAGGTGACCCTAGATGATGGTAAGATCTTGTTTTCTCGTCAAGTACACCTTCGATTAAAGCACTTTCAAATCTATTATCACACTTATCAACACCTCTACCCTGTACCTATGGCCCCATTTTACAAAGGCAGAAACTAAAGGCCTCTCTGAAAATGAGCTGGCCAAAGCTGGGCCCCAAGCCCAGGCCCCTTTGGCTCCAACTCCAGGCCCTTCCAACCAGGCCAGAATCAGGGAGCCTTTTTTATTTCCAGCCAAGGAAATAAACCCCATTAACCCTTGCCTGGGGTCAGGTTGAAAGTGTCTTGCTCTACTTTAGGATTTTAGTTCCTAAAGTACGCGCCCCTCTTGGCCACAGGGAGGGAAAACCACAGCACAGTTCACCAGGAACAGTGAAACAGCCACAAACACTGGACCTGTTTCCGGAATAGCTCACCATGCATATACCTGTGTTGGCTTATTTGCTCATTTCGCCACCCAAGGTGGCCTAACTCAATGCTGCTGGCCTTTGGGGACAAGGGGTTTTTTGAGAGTAGGAAGAAGGCCCCTAACCAAGAAAGGGAGTTTATTTTCAAATGGCTCAGTTTCAAATTTGGGAAGCAACAATTGAGGACCCTGCCAGGCACAGATAATGTCCATATGTCACAAGCAAAGACCTGGTCCCCCAGAAGTCTTAACAGACTTTTGTGAATGGGCAGGAATACTTCTGGACTGAAGCCGATCAAGATAAATGAGGTCCACACTGCCTCTGTTTACGGGGCATGTGTGGACAGCAGCCTAGCTCCCTAGTGAACTCCAACTAACATTTCCAAGGCCTTTGAGTACTGAGCAAATGCTGCTAGCTCCAGGACATGCATGGGCAAAGACACAGTTGAATCCAAATATCATGCCACCCAAACAATGGAACCAAAATAACAGCACAGATCAAAATTTGGAAAAGAAACAACAGGCAAGATTATTTCAAGCCCATCTTGGTTCTATGTCAATTTGGTTAGCTAAGTCCATGTCATTTCTTTCTTAAAAATTACTTCTTTTTTGAGGATGTGTCTATGTGGGGTTGGGATTTCTTACAATAGACATGCTTTTAAATGTCCAAAGGCAAAACAGAGTGCCAAAAATGTGACATAAGGCCATAGGCTTTAAGTTAGGGTATTAGAAATAACTTGAGGATAGAGACATTGTCACTTTGTTTTCGTAGTGTTTTGGGTTTTTGCTTTTGAATCTTCCCAGATCGTTTCCTTATCTCACATTGCACCAGAACCTCACAACAACCCTGTGAGGTAGGCAAGAATTATTAAACCCGTTTAACATAGAAGGCAAATAAGCCTATGAGAGATGAAGAAACTTGCCCAAGTTCATATTAATAACATGTGACTGAGGCTGGAGGTAGAATTCAGCTCTTCCTACTAGGGTCTCCAGTGTTGAATGTGAAATTGAGAAAGTGACTTGTATCATAGAACAAAGGATCTATTAAATTCTCATGGCCAGTAAGAGTAGAGTCTCTTTAATGTAGGTGTTAGACACCCAATGTATAAAAAGAAAAATCTAGAGTGCCCAACTAGAGGAGTTCTGTGAAATACATGTGTTTTTGTTTTTTCTTAAATTTTACAAAGTGGAATAAAAGGAAAATAGGATTTGTTTTCCCATTTTTCCTGTTCAATCCAGAAAGCGAAAGACTGAATCATACCAGGATTTCTTTCTTTGTGTGATGCTCTGTGCACTGACAAGGAAACGTAGCTATCCCAACTTTGCACGATATCAAATCTACATCGACTTACTGAAATGCTGGGTGGGGCACAAAGTGGGGAGCAGGGGGACAGCTCAGCCAAGGAAAGTGGGGCAGCCTAAGCCTTCCATCTCTTCTGCTGCTCAGTTGCAGAGCAAAAAGGAAAGAAAGAGAAAGAGAGAGGCAGGGAAAACAGAACAGAGAAAGCCACAGAGAGGAAGAAAGAGAAACCAGAGACCAATGTCCCCTTTCTGCCTTTCAATCACAATCAAAATTAACAGGTGTTGGCAACACAGGAATTAGCCTCAAAATTAGCCTGTGACTAAAAGGATGTGCCTAAAAATGTCCTTAGATGACTCAATAGACCTGGAGGTCAGCATTCAAACTGGTGGCAATATTGTTCAGTGGCAGTCAGGCTCGTAGAGGCTGTGCATGGGTGTTAGTTACCTCACTGCATCTATTTGTACGAGATCTCAAGTGTCTCCACCCCCATTCAGGCCGGGTAGACCTAGGTAAGACCCGGGAGGCCAGTTCATCTGAATCACAATAAACAAACTTTACATTTGCATCTCGCTTTGCCCTTAACGATTGGCTTTTTTAGTGCACTGTCATGTCTGCTGCCCAAATTACGGAGTTAATAGGAATTTGGGCTATTCTAATATGAGATTCTTAAGTGTGAGAAACATACACCATGCTACAGCCCATGTGCAAAACTGGTCCATGTATACAAGGTCAACAGCAACTTGGCTGACGGGACTGACACATTTTGGGAACATGAGGATGATTCCAAATGACACTGACCACGTGCAGGAGTGCATAGAAGATACGGAAAGAGCCACAATACACAGACATTTCACTCAAGGCCTTTAAGACAAATTTTACAGCCACTTCCACGTTGGTGACAGGTTCTACACCTTAAATAACTGTTTTGCAGCTAAGGGAAACTTTTAGCTTACTAACAAAGTTGTCTTTGACCTTTTCCAGGGGCCAGAGTGCTGAGGGCTAGGCCTGCAATTTAGTGCAGTGTGGCCGCAAATAGAGCAGGGTATCTAAGTGGGAGGTCTGCTAAATCTCAGCTAGAATTTCCCAGGCCCTAGGTCAAAGAGGGTGTGGAAGACAACACCTCATAGGGCTTTATTAAAAAAACAAAACAAACCCTCCACTTTCCCCTGAGGGAGGACCTGAGACGTGGCCAAGGGTATGATTACAGATCTCCTCTTCTGCAATTTGCTGGAACATCTTCTCTACGTGAGTTCTAGGAATGAGGAGGAAGTGAGGGACAGCTCAGTTCGTCCCCCATCTGTTTCACTATTAGCAGAATTTGGCATAAAATATGGCTTCTGTTGTTTTGGGACTATAACAATATCTTCTTGCCAGGAAAAAAAAAAAAAAACTGTAATGGGTTTGTTTCTAAAAAGTTCTTCGAAAGTGACCCTGCACATTTGCCACCCCATGTGCTGGAAGGGCCTCGCCTGGAGGGAGTCATCCTGATGTTCCCAAATTGTGCTGGGCCCAGAGGAACAGCTGCACAGGCCGAACTTCTGGAAAGCTCTCCAAGGTCTCATCCTGGGCTCAGGAAACTGAGAACCCTATTGCTTTCCAAGTCTCTGCCCTGCCTACTCCCTTCCCAAGGAACAGGAGAGAGTTGAGGGTTCATCTTTTCTCTTGCCAAATGTGACAGCTTTCCAGGAATCTGAGCCACTGGGAAGAATTTGTGGGAAGGAAAAGAATGCCCTCAGGTCAAAAAGTAGCTGTCAGCTGCCACAGGGTAGGAAAGCGCGGGACTGTGGGCCACTGGCTGAATTCCAGCTGGGCAGTGCCACAGCTATTGCAGGGAACTCAGAAATGAATGGGTTCTAGGGAACAGTCTGGACGGTGACAGGGCTGCTTAGGGAATCTGAACTCTCTAAAAGGGGAGGAAAAGTCAGCCCCTCCATTATCAGCTGCTGAATGCTAGGTGTTCACTGGCTCTGTTCTGCTCAGGGAAAAGCGCAAAAGGTGGAGGACAAGCTGGAGAAATTGCCTCTGTGTCACTTTCTGTCTGCCCATCCAAGTGCTGGGGAGGTTCGAGCCAGGGTGTGCTCCGCGCGGGCGCCTGTGTGCAGGTGCGCATGCGTGTGCCCAGCTGTGCGCAATCCCAACTACACCCAAAGCCTTGGCACCCGTGACCCTGGCTCAAGCAATCACGTAGCAGGTGGGAGAGCGGTCAGTGGACCCCCCGCGCTCCCCCCACCCCGTCCTCACCGGCCTCTGGCCTCTCCTGGCTGCCTTTAGCCAGTCTGAAATAGAGATTACTGTCCCACCTGATGGACAGAGCAAAGGGAAGATGCCCCCTGCCCCAGAGCAGCTCCCAAAGCGACCCTACCTCCCCGCGCCCAGCCAGCTGGAGGGGCGTGGCCTCGCCATCGCAAGCTGCGCTAAGCCAGCCGGCAGCCGCAGCAGCTACTGTGCTTTCCTTCCACACACCAGCCCTGGGAACAGCCATCCAGGCTTCTCTAGCTCTCAGCAGGATCCGCACTCCCCACCCCAGCCCCACCCGCTTCATCCCGCTCCCGCCCCAGGCAGCCGGTGAAAGCAAAGGTTCTCCCGCTCTCACCTGGTGGTGCCGCACTCTGCTCTTTCTCCTGGAAAGAAAAGTATACATGGATGTTTAATTGCTTTTTTAAAAGCCAGAGAATATTCATCTTTTTCTAAGAACAAAAAACAACTGGTCTTAATTATTCTGTGAAATGTGAAATCTAATTATGCCTAAGGTATCATCTGTTGAAAAGAACTGCTTTTTATTAATTCTTTATTAAAAGCCCCCTATTTGCAAGGCTTATGTTATTGTTCATATACATATTTTCAATGATTCTGAAATTACAATCTGCTGGCCACTTGCATCAGAAATTTCTGGGGCTCTGGCTAAAAATGCAGATTTCTTGGCTCTCCCGTGGTTCTCCTAAATTGCAATTTCAGTTTCAAGGTAGGAACCCAAGAATCTGCATTTTAACAACCACCCCAGGCTATCCCTCCTATGCCTACCCAAGTTCAAGAATTCCTGCATTGTTTAATGTCAGCAAAGACATTCAGTGTCACTGAGCCCCTGGCATGTTCCTGGCACTGAAGGATCCCAGCCTCAGGCACCTTCTTGTTTGACCTTCCCCCTGCTACCCTCCCGCTCCTGCCTTCGTTCTCAGCTTTAGATATTTTCACTGGAAAAGAAAATCAGTAGGATGGATTTTCCGTCTGCGTGCCTCTAGGGGATGAACCGACCCGTCCACCCTCTCCTGTCCCTCCCTGCCTCCTCTCCTGGCTCTCTGGAGGAAGCATCCTGCTCCCGCCAAAGCCCAAACATCCTGGTGCTCTGGGTTCTGTGCTCTGGCTTCCACACCCTCTGCCCTTTTCAGGTCCTCAGCTTCTGCAAGGGTCTCCCTTCTCTCTGGCATCGCCTATCTCTTCTCTTCTGGACCATTTCCAACCCATGTAAACATTCCAGATACCATGTTTCCCCGAAAATAAGACCTACCCAAAAAATAAGCCCTAGCAGGATTTCTATGCATTTGTTAAATATAAGCCCTACGCCGATAATAAGACCTAGTGATAGGCGTAGCTATGCAGCGTATCTGCATAGCCACGCCCTGCATTTCGGTGCAGAGCAGTAAAGAAGACTGGAATACCTTTTATCTGCCACAGCTCCTTTCTTCCAGCTGTTGGCACTTGCACACAGGCATCCTATTGAGCACGTGCAAACAGCTAGGGGAAAGGAGTTCACGGATCACTAGCGCCAGCCCCACCAACGAGGTCAGCTCCCCCTGTCAGGTTCCAGAAGAAGATGACTTAACTGTATTTGAATAAATGTAGATTGTTGTATTATACTTAATAAAAATAAGACATCCCCTGGTAATAAGCCCTAGTGTGTCTTCTTGAGAAAAAAATATAAGACAGTGTCTTATTTTGGGGAAAACACAGTATATATGACCTAGCTCAGCACCCATCTCTTTTTTTTTTTGAGACAGAGTCTCGCTATGTCGCCCTTGGTAGAGTGCCATGGTGTCACAGCTCACAGCAACCTCAAACTCTTGGGCTTAAGCATTTCTCTTGCCTCAGCCTCCCAAGTAGCTGGGACTACAAGCGCCCACCACAACGCTAGGCTATTTTTTGTTGTTGTTGCAGTTGTCATTGTTTAGCTGTCCCAGACTGGGTTTGAACCTGCCAGCCTTGGCGCCTATGGCTGGTGCTGTAACCACTGTGCTACAGGCACTGAGCCTGCACCCATCTCTTGACCCCATTTCTCCCTCTAACTACAATATGTCCCCATTTCTGCAGTCTCCCTCAAACTGTCTACAGGCACTTGTGCTTCCTCCACTCCTGTTCTCTCCTTACCCCACCGCAGTTAGGCCTCTGTTCTCACCTAGAGATGAGTCTGCAAATGCCAAGATCAACACTCAAGGTCAACAGTGGTCCTCCTGTGGCCAAGCGCATGGTCTTCTCTGCCCTTACCTTACTTGACCTCTCAGCACCATTCCACCCAGTGAACCCTTCTTAAAGCTTTTCCCCTTGATTTCCTTGACTCTGTACATGCCAGGTGTCCTTCCTGCCCTACAGAGTATTCCTCAGTTTCTCTTGTTGTCTCCTCCTCATCTGCCCAAACTTAAACCTCTACATGTAGGGATGCTCCAGGATGCATACCCAGGCATCCTATCCACTCTTTCCCATACACCCTCTCCAAGAGGTCCCAAGTGCTTACTATGAACTCTCAACCCTTTGGTTCAGATTGTCCCCTTCCCTGGACTTCCAGATTCACATGCATTTTTAAGTAAATATTCAAAGGTATACAACTTTCACCAGAATTCAATTTGAGAGGTTTTCCATCCTAAGAGAAAGACCCCTCCCCTCAAGCCCACTTATAGTCACTCCTCATTCCCACCTCTAGCTCCAGGCAACCCTGAGTTACTGCGTGAGTTTGTCTATTGGAGACATGTCGTATAAATGGAGATATACAATATGTGGTCTTTTGCATATATCTTCTTCCACTTAGCATAATGTTTTTGAGTTTTATTCATATACCATGATTCAGAACTCATTTCTTTGTATGGATGAATAATATTTCATTGCTTCTACAGACCCCATTTCCTTTATCTATTCGCCACCAAGTGATTCTTAGTATCTCAAATCCTAAATGTTCCCCAAAACACTTTTTTTCCATGCCCCGAACCTACTCAAGTATTCAACATCTCAATAAATGGACCACCATCTACCTACTTGTTTCAGCCAGAAGTCTAAGCATTATCCTTGAAAATTCTCTTTCCTTCATAACTTAAATCAATCTACTTCCCTCCATCTCAACAGTACCATCTCAGTCCAGGCCACCCTTATCTCTTGCCTGGACTACTTTCTTTTTAACTGGTTTTCCTGTTTCCTACAATCCAGTCCTGACTCAGTAGTCAAAGTAATTTTCTATTTCATTTTGTAGAGATGGTATCTTGCTATGCTGCCCAGGCTGGTCTCAAACGCCTGGTCTCAAGCAACCTTCCTACCTTAGCCTCCCCAAGTGCTGGGATTAAATGCTTGAGCTTCTGTATCTGGCCCTCTCTTTAAATTAGAAATCATATCATATCTTTTCCTTGCTTTAGAACCCTTCGATAACCTCCCACCACACAACGGGATAAAATCCAAACCTCTTACTCTGTTTTTGTAAACCTCTTTGAGATCAGAGTGGACCCTCTGAGATACTATGTACTGTGCCATCCTCCTTTGCATACTATGGTCCTGACCCAGAGGCCTTCTGTGTGGTCATCGAATAGGCCTTTGCATTTGCTGCCTAGAATTCTCTTGCCCTTGGTAGTTGCATGACTGGCTTTTCTTTATCTTTTGATCTCAACTTTTCTCTGTGTCCAGAGAAAAGCTTCCTCACTTTAAAGTAGATACTTGTTTATATCACATTTCTTTATTTAAATTCTTTCTACATATAGCTAATCATTAATATTTTTCTTGCTTATAACTCATTGCTTACTTATCTGCTGCCAGTCTGTCTCCACTGGAAAACACTATATTCTATGGGAGAAGGGATCTTGTCTGTTCTTAAAACTGCTACACCACCAAGATCTTAGATAATGTTTGGCACCAACTATGTCCTCACTAAATATTTACTGAACAAATAAATGAATGGACAAGTCCTCCACCTGCCAGAAGCATAGTGCCAAATTCTTCTCCTAGTTAATAAGTAGATCATGCAGTTGTGGAATTCTGTACACAAGGTATTGTCCTTGTCACAACAACTGAGCAAAGACACGTGGAGAGATGGAGTGATTTCCCCAAGACTTTGCTTGTGAGGAGTTTGTATTCTAATCCAGGTTGTCTAACTTCAAATCTGAGTTTTGCTGGGGGAACTGGTTCCACCTTCACAAACACAGGGTGAGGGAGAATGGATCTCCATAGTGGAATTTTCCTAAGAACCAGGAGCTCCCTAGAGGTGGCACTTGGCTTCTAATACCATCCCCTCCTGGGCTTCAGAGGCACAGTGCCATAGAAGACAGCTCCCTGGACAGAAATGTGGTGATGAAGACTTTAAACACCATCTTTTCCTTTGCCTGCCAAAACTGTACTGAAAAGGAAGTGCTCTGAGTCCCGATGTTAACACTTTCATCAACTCCCTGTGTGAGTTTGGACAAGCTACCTCCTTTCTTTGGGCCTCAATATCCTCAATTTAAACTCTTCATTTCCTTTTTAGCACATTACAGATGCTTACATGCCTGGATCCCCTTCACCAAATACCAGTAATATTTATTTCCCAGTCACTGTGACATCTAGAAACGCTCCCATACATTTCTGATCCTCTTAGAGGTCAGAGTTGCTCCCAGCTCAGAGCCTCTAGACCGACACTTTCTAATAGAAATTCAATGCAAGCCACAATTTCTAGCAGCCACATTACAAAAAGTAAAGAGAAACAGGTGAGATTAATTTTAATAATATACTATGTTTAATCTAATATGGCAAAAATGTTATCACTTCAATATGCACTGATATAAAAACGAATAGGTAATGGGTGGAGGGAGGGAGTTAGGAGGGATTACTTCTGAGGTTTACCTTATAGGGGTACAGGTGAATCTTTCTAAGAGTAGAATGTGAATGTTTTAAAGCAATAACTGAGA